CAGACAGACTAGCCTGTCAGATCCCTGGAACTGGAGTTACAGACAGTTGTTAGCTGCCATGTGGGTGCTGGGATTTGAACCTGGGTCTTCTGCAAGAAGTCAGTGTTCTTAACTGCTGAGTCATCTCAACAGCTCCCCCCCCCCCTTTTTTTTTTTTTTTTTTTTTTTTTTGGTCTTTTTGAGACAGGGTCTCCCCGTAGCCCCAACTGGCCTGGAACTCACTATGTAGACCACAGAGATCCACCTGCCTCTGCCTCCAGTGCTGGGACTAAAGGCATGCACCACCATGCCTGGCAAAAATTTGTTTTAAAGGTGCTTTTTTAAGACAGGGTCTTGCTGTGCTGCTCTTCCAGCCTGGCACTCAGTATGTAGCTTAAACTAGCCTCAAACTCACAGTCAAAAGAATCCAAAAGACAAAAAGCAAGCAAGCACAAGCAAATACACACACACACACACACACACACACACACACACAACTGGGAGATAGGAGACTTTAATTCTATTCTTCACAGCTTTTATAACTAGCAAAACCTAATATTTATCTTTTCTTATTAACATTATTTTCAGTCTCCCCCCTAAAATATTAACTCCATGATAGATCATAAACAGCATTTGTTTGGATAATAAATGTAATCTGCATGTAAACAGCACAGAAGTGAATATATTGTTCAGAACCAGAATATAAATTGCTATATATGTGTGTGTAAAAGTAGAACTATGAAAGCAGTCTCTTATTAATAAACCCTTTTTATCATTAAAATAGTTTTTAGTGCAATAATTTTTAAAATTGTTTCATTTTGTTTTTGAGACAGGGTCTCATGTAGCCCAGGAACTTTTGATCTTACTGCCTCCATCTCCCAAGTGCTCAGAATATGGGTGTACACTACTACATCTGATTTTTTTTCCATACTGGGGAACAAAGCTAGGAGTCCATTCATGCTAGGCAAGCACTCTACTAGCTGAGCTACTTCCCCAGCCCAAGTGTAATAATATTCTATAGTCAGTTTGCAAAGTTGACTTTGAGATTTTGATTTTGTAAAGTTTATATCTGTTCAACATTTGCAATGTGAAATATATACTGTTTCTTAAATGCCACAAGTAGTGTAACTGTAGATGGATGTGGTGGTGCATGCCTTTAATCACAGCAGAGGTAGGCGGAGCTCTGTGAGTCCTGGGCCATCCTGGACTACATAGTGAGTTCCAAGCCAGCTGTCTCAAAAAGACCAAAAACAAAAGTGTAGCTCTAACTATTACCATGCTTTTGTCTTCTCTAGGACGTTATTGCTGGATTCCTATACGCCATTTTAATCTTAGCTGTCTTCTGTCCGTTTGTGGACCTGATTGACAACTTCAACCAGACTTACAAGTACGCTCCATTAATCATCATTGGGCTTCACTTAGCTTTGGGCATCTTTTCCTTCACTCTTGACACCTGGAGCACATCCCGAGGAGACACAGCTGAGATTCTGGGAAGTGGTGCTGGAGTTGCTTGCGGCTCTCACGTCACTTACAACATGGGTCTATTTTTGGATCCTTCTCTAGACACACTGCCTTTAGCTAGGCCCCCCATTACTGTCACTCTGTTTGGAAAAGCCATATTACGGGTCCTCATAGGGTTGGTATTTGTGCTAATAGTGAGGGATATAATGAAAAGGATCACCATTCCGTTAGCCTGTAAAATCTTTAATATACCGTGTGACGACATTCGCCGTGCACGGCAGCACATGGAAGTGGAGCTTCCCTATCGCTATATCACCTATGGGATGGTTGGTTTCTCCATCACATTTTTGATTCCCTATGTATTTTCCTTCATTGGTATCTCTTGATGGGGAAATACTGTTTATTATAAGAAAAGAGGCTATCAGTTACGTCTAAAAATATTCTCTAGCTAAAACTCAGATCAGAGGCTTTTGCAAGAATTTAAACTGAAATAACTAAGTTAATTCTTAGGAGTCGGTGCACTTTGTCATTACACATCCAGATGTTTCAGAAGAGCTGAACTCTTTCAGTACTGAGAAAAAGTGCCCATTTAGAATGTGTACCAACTGTTTGGAGAGTTCTGTGCTGTTATGAAGTAAAGTTATATATAATATATATTTAGGTA